GTGTGTGTGTGTGTGTGTGTGTGTGTGTGTGTGTGTGTGTGTGTGTGCGCGCGCACCTGTGTGTGTGTGTATGTATGTGTGAGACTCAGGAATTAGTAAAGATGTTTTGAGTTGAGGAGCAGCTGTGGAAAGGTACTACCTGGTCAGGAAGATTGTTTATAGGAGATGCATGAGGAAAAAGAACTGAGGCTAGATACGTTGGCAGGGACTTGATCTACGAGGGCTTCGAGAGTTGAACTTAATCCTCCAGACAGAAGAGTCTTAGAAGGATTGTAAACAGGGAAGCTCAGTGAGGAAGGGTGGGTTCTAAGAGATAAAAATGGAGACTGGGAGACCTGTTTGCTTTTCCACGTTCAGTTCAGTTTACCATGGGAGAGGAGATGAAGCTGTGGACAGGTGGAGTGAAGGGGACTGAAAGTGATTTGGGACGAGGCGGGAACCACTGAGTTTGGCAGCCTGAGGGGATATAAGGGCTGAATCAAGGGGATACTCAGAAAAAGTTCGAAGTGGGGCGCTAATGAGGTAAGCTTGATTTGTCTCATTGAGTTTGAGAGGAGCTTCTAAAGGAACATCTAATGAGATCCCTGCCTTAGAAGGAAGTGTTATCTGCTAGGAGCTGCCTCGGCATAAACAGACCAAAGGGCATGTGTAAAGGTGATCAGCCCTATAATAATGAAAACAGCACGAGGATACTCTTTTATGTCCATCAAATACCGGCAAGTATAAAAAGGACTAATAGCTGCCCACACTGGTGTAGACGTGGATACTCTTGGAGACAATAAAATATAAGAAATCAGTGGGACACTGAGGGGGTAATTTGGTAGTATCTCTTAAAATTTAAATAAAACAGAGCTGGAGAGCCAGCTTAGCTGTTAAGAGCACTTGCTGCTCTTGCGAAAGACCCAGGTTCAATTTCCAGGCTCCCTGGGGGCAGCTCACAGCCACCTATTATTCCAGTTCCAAGTATCTGAGCCTCCATGGGGCTCTGCATACACTCAGTGCACATGAAGTCACGCGGGCACACATACAGATAATAAATAAAGAAATCTATCTTTAAAAAATTGAAGGAGTAACTGCCTTTATTAGTTCCATTTCTAGGGGTATATTCTATACAGAGAGACTTAGGGAACTCCCAGCAGACAGTCTCTTGTTAGACTTTGCTGAACATTGACTCAGCTTTTGTAGGCTGCCCAGCACACCAGGTCTAAGAGATTCTGCACCGGGTGCCAGTTCTGCAGCTCCAGGAGTCCTTCTGTGGAGTCCCCGTGGCCGGCCATCCAGCAGGGCTGCCCACTAGCCCAGTGTCACTCCAGGCGCAGGACAGAAACTCAGGAGTAAATGCAGGAATTGCCCTTGCTTAGAAAGCTCATCGACCCCAGGAACTGATGTCCCTTGTGACATTCCATAGGCCCGTAGCCTGCAGCCTTCCCATGAAGGACATTCTGATCATAGAGTCACCACTTACCAAGAAGCACCCCATCTGGAGGTATAATTTAGACTCTCTCCCGGCCCAGACATGATTTACCAGTGTGCAGTCATTTTTTTACCACAAGCTATAGTTGCCTACTAACACAGTGATCATAGCATGTACTTGAGGTTACCAGGGAGCCAGGGCTAGAAAGTGAATCTGAGATCCAGTTATCATGCAGGAGGCAGTGTTTGATCACCTCTTACCCACATCGCTCAAATGCTACCAACAGAAAAGGGTTAAACTAGGTCAGGTCTGTTCTAGAAGGTAGCTAAACCATTGGATGAATCTGTTTTTAACATGGAATGATCTTCAAGTCATACTGTTAAAGGGGAAAAGCCACAATATAGGTGCTTATAAAAAGAAAATGTATTTTGACACATACATTAGAAAATATGACGTATATACATGGAATTTTAAACAGTTGGGATTGAAGGAACACTTTTTTTTCAGTGATGTCTGACTATTTGGGGTAGGCATGTTGGCAGCTCTAATCAGAAGTGGTAGAGATTATCTGGGAGTGCAGCTCAGTGGTAGAGAGTTTGCCTGGCATGCACAAGGCCCTGAGGTTCATCTCTGGATTGGGAAGGAAGAAAAAGAGAACAGAGAGATAATTTTTAAATGGGCTTTGCATGTGAGCAGACTTACATTCAGTCCTTCATTTCCCCGCTTACCAACAATCTTACTTCTAACAAGTTGCTCAGCTTCCTGAGCCTCATTTCCTCAGCCATAGAATGAATGTCACAATTTCTATTAGTGAGTGCAGTTAGAGATTTAGAACTTTCTAAAACATTATTTTCAGTTGTGTTGTGTATGCATATGTGATGTGATGTGTGTGTGTGTGTGTGTGTGTGTGTGTGTGTGTGTATTTGAGGGTGTGATATACATGATACAGGTACCCAGAGAGGCCAGGAGAGGTCACTGGAACCCCTGGAGCTAGAGTAACAGGCAACTGGAAGCTACCCCATGTGCATTCTGGGAACTAAACTCTGGTCCTTTGCAAAAGCAGTTAATTCTCTTGACCCCCAAGCCATCACTCCAGCCCTATGGTTGGAGATTTGAGGATGGAGATATAAAGAATCTTCCATAGCACCTGGCCTTCCGCTGTGGAAGCTCAGTGAATGTTCAGTATCTTTCTCTTTAAGTCTTTACAAATTCAAGATTCTCTCTGTTTGTCCATGCAGATGCCTTTCACACATTTCCAGCCCTAAAGGAACTGGAGCTGGCATTCAATGGCATCAAGACAGTCTATGTGAAATATGGAGACTTCAAGACATTGGAAGTAAGTTGGAGGTAGGAAGTTTTTGATCCTACCTGTTCCCTGTAAGCAATGAGTATAGGGGGCTTTGCAGATTGTAACTTTGAACTAGGCATGGTAGCACACACCGTTAATCCCAACACTCAGGGAGGCAGAGGCAGGTGGATTGCTGTGAGTTGGAAGCCAGCCTGGTCTACTAATTGAGACACAGGACAGCCAAGGCTACATGGAGAAACCCTGTTTCAAAAACAAAACAAGATTGTGATTTTGGGGAAAGGTTCTCTGGGCTGTCTCTGCTAGGCTCTTGCTTTATGGTTGGCCTCTGGAGAAGGTGGTGGTAATGGTAATGGTAGTGATGATGGTGGTGGTGGTGGTGGTGGTGGTGGTGGTGGTGATGGCGGCGGTGGTGATGCCAGTGGAGGTGGTAGTGGTGATGGTGGAGGTGATAGTGGTGGTGGTGATGGTGATGGTGATGGTAGTAGTGGTGATGATGGTGGTGGTAATAGTGTTAGTGGTACTAGTGGTAGATAGGTACCTGTAGCCAAGGTGTATGATCCTGGAATATAAGTGCCAAGGACCATTTATGTTCAGGAGAAACTGCAGAAAAGTGAGTTTAAGTGGAGTATCCTAGGAAGAGGAATTTCTCAGGAAATGTATCTGCTCGGGTGTTTGGAGGGCTATGGAAGTTAAAGGCCTAATACAGTGAGCTAGAGACCTTGTGGCCGATACCAAAGACACACCCTGACCTCAGTAAACTAGGCTGGTTCCACTGGGCTGGGTTAGTACAGGCTTCCCTCGTCCATTGACCCAGAGATGAAGCTGGATGAAATAGGCCCCTGTAAACTCAGCGCACGTTCTAGGTGCACACACATCCCTGTTATTCTCAGAACCTTGGGATAGAAAATATAGGCCATTTGGTCTGCATATCCTCATACTTTATTACCTCCTTTGACTTTGATAAAGAATGGAGGGAATGAAGGTTTTTGTCCCTACCTAAGAATCACTGCACACATGGTTTGGAGAACAGCACCAGAAGTGGGGCTCAGCCACCTGGCCAGGCTCACTCTCTCCCTGAGTGGTACACCCTTCCCTGTGTCAGCCTTAGAGTAAAGCATTTCCCTTCACACTTCCGCAGCACATCTATTGCTGCTAGCTTTGGTAGCTTCAGTCTGCAAACATCGAAGGTCAGCCAGGCTTCATGTGTGCCTCACTTACCTTGTCTTCAAGAAAATGACCTTTTCAAAGAGTTGAGAGCCTTCCTATGCCAGAGTTTGGAAACACTTTGACAAATTGGAATGAGCATCTTCCCAAGATGGTGGGCGTGTCCACCTCACATGCTGAAAACATCCTGTGCTGAATGCAATGGTGACTTTCCCCCCTGGTTCAAGTCATATTGAGAATGGCGGCAGTTTGCTCTGACCCTGGACAGGAGCTGGTCCTTGGAGTTATTCCGTAGGCAAACTCTCATAGTCCAATAAAATCCAAAGGAAGTAACTGATGCAGCTTGGAGCTAAGTTAAAGCATCGTCTGTGTTATGTTTTGGTGTCAACAGTGGGAGGTAAATCCTGGATACTAGAGATCCAAGGAGCCATTTCTCTGCCTCCTGGACCCAGGTGCTTTTCATGGACTTCCATTGTGCTTTGACTTTTTCAGAGAACAGTCACTGAACTCCCCCCAGAGTTATATGTTATGCCATGAATCTTGTCTTCCTCCTTTCAGATTCCTGCTATCCCAAAGATGCCACAAGTACCAGTGGCCATCCAGAGGGATATGATCATATCGACTCTCTGAGTGATTACGATTAGCTTGGGATCTAAGGTCGATCGTGATTGACCTTGGACATGCCCCACTTTGTAATTTGATTGCATCTGATGATTATTTATCCTACAGACCCAGCCTTATCCAAAGGCATTTGTCTACAAAGAAAAAGAAACTCATTTTAGGATGCAGAATATAAATGAGAAACGGAAACCTCTGGATTAGTCATTTGTTCTCTTCTCTCTGTGATTTGCAAGGGCTCCCCAGGAAAAGAGATAAACATGTCAAATAGCCTGAGTTTGCATCTCACAGTGGTGAATGCTTGGATATGTGATGAAACTCAGTGTGACTCAGCAGATAAAGAGGGATCATCTGTCCTTGTTTGTCTGAGAACCTGCCCCAAGGGGAGCAGCCCAGAGTAGAATTCCTCCATAGTCGATTTTGGAAAACTTGCCTTTGCTGTGATTTGATCCTCTGTTTACGAATCTGAAAACTAGCCAGAAGGACCCTTCCCTAGCTGGAAGGCCTTTTGTCTAGTCTTTATCCAGACAGCACTTTGTCTTGCCCAAATAACTTTTCCTTGAGGATAAAGTTTTCCGCCTTTGTAAAATCTAGGCTAACTCTAAAATTTTATGATTCTACAACTGTATATTTCTTTAAGCTACCCCTCATGAAAGCAAATTTGGATCCAACATTAAATATCCAAAGCAGCTAGAATCGTGGTTCACAAATTTTTTTCCGTAAGAGACAAGAAATTATGTTAAACTTAAGGTCTGTATGCTCATAAGTAGTTGTGACTGTCATAAGTAATCATCCATACCTTTGTGTGAGGAGAGAGCTATAGACAGAATGGAGGCAAACAAGCATGTTGAAATTTGAACTTCTCATAATTGCCAAATGGAACACACAATTTTTTTTTTTGAGACAGACTTTCTCTGTTTAGCCCTGGCTGTCCCGAATTCACTCTGTAGACTAGGCTGGCTTTGACTCACAGAGATCTGCCTGCTCCTGTCTCCCAAGTGCTAGGATTGAAGACATGTACCACCTATCCTGGCCTCATATTTTTATTTTTAAGTTAAGGCTCATTCTTAGCTCATTAGCATAAAAGAGCATCAGGCTGGACTCGGCCTGCTGGCTCTTGAGCGTGAATGCCAGTGAATCTTCTCAGAGTGGCTGGGTGGGGAGTGAGTCGGTGGGGGGATGCTGGGTGGGGAGTGAGAGTCGGTGGGGGAAATGCTGGGTGGGGAGTGAGAGTCGGTGGGGGGATGCTGGGTGGGGAGTGAGAGTCGGTGGGGAAATGCTGGGTGGGGAGTGAGAGTCGGCGGGGGGAAGTGCTGGGTGAGCCTGCAGAGGTGGCTTAGGGCAGACCTCGGGGTTCCTAAGACACATTGCTAAGGGCTGACACTCTTTTACGGAATAGAGATCACAGAGTTTTAAACTGGAGCATGCTGTGGTCAGAGCTGTGTTTTAGAAAACGAGTTCTGACTACTGTATGAGGAATGGGTTAGAAGGAACATGAGACGCTGAGACAAATAAAATCCACAGGCCTTGGCAGTCCACACACAAGTATGAGAGACAAGGATTTTCCCATCTTTACCTGCGCTTTTTCCCAAGCCCTGCTCCTCCTCTTGCTCCAGCCAAGTGAGATGGCATTGTTCTGTGCACCTTAAACCCTGTCTCTCCTGCTGATACTTAGGACCTTTCACGTCCTGGCCAGTCTCATCAAACTCTCCCACACTACAAATTTCACTGGTAACCAAAGCCTTTGCAGTTCTCAGCACAAGCAACATGGCTGCTTCCTGCTTCCTGTCTCATGCCTCTCTCACATCAGTTCTCTATGCCTTTAACTGTTTGGTCTGATGATGGCTCAAACACTGCCTCTGTGCGAAGCCTATCCTGATATTCTGGCAGATTTGACTGTTACTGCCTTTTTGGCTTGTGGTATGTGTCTAGACATCTATCCCAGCAGTATAACTTTTTTAACTTTTACTTATTATCCTTTGACAGTTTCACGTATGCATAGAGAGAATTTTAATCCTTTCTACCCTGAGTAACCTGTTTCATCCCCCTTCTTCTCCTGCTGAAACCCTTCTTGCCAAGTCCCCCTCCTACTTAAATAATGTGGGGGGGGGGTGCCTACATGAGCATAGGTAGGAGGTTATTTACTAGAACTGAACAGCCTGTCACCACTGAAGGAAGTTGACACCCTCCTTTGCCACTCTTAGCAACCAGTAGCCCTTCCGAGAGAGGTGGGGCCCCGTGAGCCCTTTCTTCTTGTTCTTGTATCTTCTATGATAAATGGTTGATGGGCCCAGTCTTGTGCAGGTGACCACAACTGCAGTCAGGTCATGAGTGTACCATCCATGTCATATCCAGGAGAAAGTTCTCCAGTATTCCTCCCAACTTTTGTTTCTTAAAACCCTTCCATCTCCTCTTCTGTGGTATCCCCTGAGCCTTGAAGGGGCAGAGATGGGTGTCCCATTTAAGGCCAAGCACTCCACAGCCGCTTACTCTCTGCACTTGGATCACATTGCGAGTCTCTCTCTGTATTAGCCACCATCCACAAAAAAAGAGCCCAGCAGACCACTTCCTAATAGACAGATATAGATAGCTTGCAGCTCAAGAAAAGTGGGAGCTCTGACAGGGTAAGGACAAGATAAGCCTTCAGTTTGGGGTGGTGGTGATGATGATTAATGGTGAAAGAAGAAGAACAACAACAACAAGAAGAACAAGAACAGCAACAAGAACAACAAGGACAGGAAGGAAGGAAGGAAGGAAGGAAGGAAGGAAGGAAGGAAGGAAGGAAGGAAGGAAGGAAGGAAGGAGAGAAGGAGAAGGAGGAAGAGGAGGAAAAAGAGGACAGCTGATGGTGGAGTGACCACTTGAACTCATTGTCCTTTTAAGCTAGTTCATTTCCGTTCACTTTCATGTAGGTCTGCATTGTGCCAGGGCTTATGCTCAGTTATAAGGCTTCGGTGCAGTGGTGACATGGCCCCTGACCTCAAAGGCATATGATCCAGTCTTTCACTATGTGCCAGACATAGTACAAGGCACATCTCTAGTTATCTTAAGACTCGAAGCTTTCGACAACAGGAGTAGTTTAGATAAAACAGACAGTCAGGATTGGGAGACAGTCCATCTGGCTGAGGTTTGGGAAGTATTTTGTGAGGAAGCAGCTCTGAGATGGCCCTCTGGGACTGGGATTCCCAGAGAAGGGCATTCTTTTAGTGGAAACATAAAAAGAATGACAGGCAAGGAGCAGGGAAGAGCCTGAAACAGGGATGTGCAGTGGCAGCTAAGACTGAAAGAGGGATGAACCTGACTCCAACAGGCAGTGAATGTTAAACCGAGAGATTTTATCCTGTGGGAGATAGGTTCCTGGCAGTGGAGGAGGGGAGCACAGCCACCTCCCGCCTCCTGTCACATGTTGCTTCTGTTTATCCCATCTTTTGTTTTGTTTTCTTGCATGGTAGTTCTTGGACCTTTCCTTCAACAGCCTGACTGAGGAGGCCATCTGTGATCTGGGGATTCTGCCGCATCTCCGCGTGCTGCTCCTCACAGGAAATGGGCTCACCTCGCTACCACCCCACATGGCTGTCATAGAACAGTAAGTTTTACATCCTTGAGTTTATCCTGTGTGTCCCCTCAGGAGCCTTTGTCTGGGGCCTGACACTAAAGGAATACTTCAGAGCAGCTCTTCTTGGAAGTTCTGTTAAGACAGGTTTTGAGTACCCAAAGTGAAAATGCTGCCTATTTATCCTTCCAGGAAGTGCCTCCAATGTATCCTGTGTGCTATTGAGAGATTTGAGCTGGGCATGATGGGGCAGGCCTTTAATCCCAGCATTCAGTAGGCTGAAGCAGGTCAATCTCTCTGCATTCTAGCCAGCCTGGTCTACATAGCAAGTTCTAGCTAGCCAAGGCTGCATAGTAAGACCTTCTCAAAACATATGCTTATGTACACGCACACATCTACACACAATGAACAGGAATATACATGTGCATACATATGCATGCGCGTGCATGCACACAAGCACTTGTGTTCCTGTATACAAACACACACATACACACACGCTGCAAAGCTGCTCCCCTGCCTCTGATCTTTTGTAGGCATTGGGTGTTGCTCTGGCTAGCTGCTCCCCTTAGTAAGCCCTCTCTTCCAGCTCCTTAAGTCTGCTTGCTGCTCTCTAACTAAGCTTTGCACAGCTCCATTCTGCACCTTTGTGGAGGCCATTTCTACTGCCAGAGCATCCTGACTTTCTTTTCTGAATTATAACACACAAATAGTATTTACTGTGTGCCAGACAATATTCCCCACACTTTCATCCTCCTGACACTTCTATGAGATAGGTGAGCATCATCCCATTCTTCAGATGAGGAGGTTGAGGCACAGACAAGTTAAATAACTTCCCCAAATTTACAAAACTAGTTTCTTATAGAGCCAAGATTCAAATCAAGCTTTTTCTTTGTTTACTCTAGAGGCAGAACTCAGCATAGCTTTTCACATAGATTGCTCATACTCCAAGGCTCAGCTCCTATCCCACTTGCTCTCTTCTCTAACCATCAGGTGAACTGGATGTTTTCCCGGTTGATCTAATACTTGGCTAGTCTGTTGAGACATGGGCACCTAAACATGTACCCTTATAGGAGGTGGATAGATGGCAGGCACATTGGGCCTCTCCATGTGGGGCAGGAGCACTCTCAAAGCTACTCATCTCCGATTTGCAGGAACTAGTCAAGGACCTGGTGCTTTTCATATAACGTCAATGTTGGCCAATAGAGATGCTGATGGTGACAGCCCTCATGATGGTGCCCCTTGCCAGGAGGAAAGATATGGTGGCAAAGACAATGATGATGATAGCAGTTAGTTGCTCCAAAGGGTTGGGATAATAGTGATCACTGGATTTAGGGTTTCTTTAGATAGGATTATTTTGTTTCCAAGCTGTATTTTTGAAAGTCTAGTTCAAACTAACTTAGATAAAAAGGGCATTTAAGAAGCATTCATGGTGGCATGTGTCTATCATCCCAGTCTGTGAGAGGCTGAGGCTAGAGGATCATGGGAGTTCAAGGTCAACCTGGGTTAAATAATGAGACCTTATCTCCTATATAAAAAAAAAAGAAGAGGACTAGAGAGTTGGTTCAGCAGTTCAAAGCACTTTGTTGCTCTTACATAAAGGTCAGAGCTTTAGTTCTCAGCATCCACATGGCAGCTAACAATCATCTGTAACTCTAGTTCCACAGGATCCAGTGCCCTCTTCTGGCCTCCTTGAGTACTGCATACATGTGATAGACACACATGCAGACACTTTAAAAAAGATTTTTTAAAAAGGGAAGGGTCTATAAATCTGAAGTCCTAAAAACTAATCTGCTGGATTTGTGTAGGGGCACAGTGGGGACAGGATTTGTCAGGGTTCTAGCCCTATATGTAACCTTCTGTCACTGTGCCTGTTGTGTGCTCTTAGACCCCTGAACATAGCTTTGTTTGCCTTTGTGCTGATGAGACATGTCTCAGTCAGACTCTCAAAAAAGTATTGTGACTAGAGAGGATTTGCTTGCTCTGAGTAGAGAGAGATCATCATCGGTATTTTATTATGGAAAATTTCAGAAGTGTGTAAAAGTAAAGTTATGGTTTGAGCATGTATTATCCCCTCAGATGGCTCATATAGTAAAGGATAGATCCCCAGCTGGCGGCACTGTTCTGGGAAGTGCCAGAAACTGAGTCCTGTCTGCAGGAAGTCACTTACTGGGAAAGGTCCTTGGGATATCTTGTACTTCTCCAATTCTTGTCTCTGATTCCTGCCCTCCATGAGGTTGGTAATGTCTGTACAGGCCCCCATTAGTAGGCCCAGGATCAAGAGATTTGAGGACTGGCCAAAAGAAATGATTCTTCCCTGCAAGTTGCTTCTGATGGGTGTTTGTCACAGCAGTGGTCAGACTGATTAACGCGAGGAGAATAAATGGTAAAGTGAGTTCCCATGTTCCTACCTCCCAGTAGTTAGAATGTGACGGTTGAGACACAGCCATTACAGATATACCCTATCATACCCAAGTACAGATTATTCTTAGGAAAAATGTACCCAGCTATAAGTGACTCTACTCACAAATGAATCAGAAGATTCATATATCATCTATAAATATTCAATATGTGCCTCGAGAGATAAGGGCCCTTTTAAAGCTCATAGCCAACAAACCTTTATTCCACCTCCAGAATTAACAATGATAGGTAGAGAGAATTGGTTACGGGAATCTTAGAACACTGCTGGGTCAAATGGAGAAGGGGCATGGAAGAGCAGAAGGAAGGAGGGCCGGTGCTCAGCTATTGGAAGCTAACTCTGGTGGACTGGAGGCAGGAGTCTGCATCTGCCAGTGGGGCTTTTAGAGAGGTCATTGCGCTAATGCTCTAGCCCACTGCCTCAGCCTTTGTCAACACAGTTGCCATTGTCATTGTCCTTTGCTGCTGCTGCCAGAAGCCAGGCAGAAGATCTTCCCCCAATCTACTGTGCTCAGCAGGGTCTTACCAGTCCCTTTCATCGATAGCACCTTGCTGGAAGCCAGTTTAAAAAGGTGGTCTAGCAGGTATAGTTAAGTGGTTGTCTCCAACCCCCTACCGTACAGTGCTGAACATAGAGGGAAAGAGTGAAGGCTGACAGCGTGGAGGCAGATGACGCCCACTCCTTGGAGTCCTAACATCTCTCTTGTCCATGTCTTATTTCCATACAACAGTAACAACCACCACAGGTTTCATGTCACTTATATTGAAGGCACTCACCCTCCTCCACAAAGTGAGCTGAGGTGCAGTTTTATCAGCTACTGTAGCTATCTCTGAATGACTTTATCTCTAAAGAAATTTAGGAGCCAGGCATGATGGCAATTGCCTGTAATCCCATCACTTCAAAGACAAAGGCAGAGGAGGGTTGAGAGTAGCCTGAGTTATACCATGAACTCAGTGGGCTGAGTTACACACTTAAAGTGAGACTCTGCCTCAAAAAAACAGAGAGAGAGAGAGAGAGAGAGAGAAGGAAGGAAGGAAGGAAAGAAAGAAGGAAGGAAGGAAGAAAGAAAGGAAGGAAGGGGAAGAAAGAGAGGAAGAGGGGAAGGAAGGAAGGGGAAGAAAGAGGAAGAGGGGAGGGAAGGAAGGAAGGAAGGAAGGAAGGAAGGAAGGAAGGAAGGAAGGAAGGAAGGAAGAGCCACACATACAGATGTTTCATAACCTGAAATCTAAGTTACAAAGCCAGTGATCACCTAGCAACTTATATGTCTACACTCATATGTACATATAAAACAAGAAAGAAAATATTTATAATTTTACAGTCACCTTTCTTTACTTGGTCAGAAGGTCATAGTAGATGTTTATAAATTCCCATCATCCATTTTAAAGTTCTGTTACTGTCAGCCAGCACCCTCAGCTAGTTGGAGTCCAACCTTCGCTCCTGAAGAGTCTGAGCACTACATGTGTAGCTTTTAAGGGTTACTATGATTTTTTTTTTCAGTAACTTTTGCTAAATGTCGTAGACTCTCTAAGAGGAGATCAATATTACATAAATCCAAAGGTACTCTTTTGGGTCTTGGAGGAATAACACTATATTTACATTTGATAATTGCTCATATCATCAAAAGCAGGCTCCATTTTTGCTTGCCTCATGGTCCAAAGAAACTAGAAACCCGAGTGACTAGTAACATTAGCTTCTAGTTCAGTGAGACTATTCTTGTGACCCCTAGGGAGTGCCTCTCTTGAGAAGACAAACCTCTAGATCAGAAGGGGCCAACAAGATGGCTCACTGTTTAAAGCACTTGCCACCCCAGCCTAATGACCCGAGTTCAATCCCTGGAAGCCAAGTAAAGGTGGAGGAAGAGAACCAACTTCACAAAGTTGTCCTCTTACTCCACACACATGCTGTGACTTGTGTACCCCACACACCCTGAAGCTAGAAAAATGAGAAACAGTATTCCACCTCCAGATATTACTGTGAGAGCATTCTTCCACCTCCCTCCACTAATCTCTAGGTATTTAATGAGAATGCTAACCAGAAAGCCAGCATCGTATTGATTGCCAATTTTTGTGATGTTTCCACTGTAAGTCAGTGTCCCGATTTCCCCAACTCTGCATACCTGGTCTGGTAATTGAATCATAAAGGCTATTTCACCAGAGGATGGGGGTATATGGCAAAACAGGAAGCACCTCGAATCTATCTCCTTACTCAGCAGCAAGTGCATTGACAGAATCTGTCTCAGGAGACTCCACTGGGGACTCTGGAACTTGCTGGAGACATATCTTCCAGAGGAAGAAGGTTTAGTCACAAAACTGCTGATAATTTCACTTTATCAGCTCTTTTCCCAGTAGCTGGCCCCATCCTGACATCCCAGTCTCATGTTAATAGTCACAGATATGCTTTTGGAGTATAACTGGGAAAAGCTCTCCAAGTATTGGGGATCTGTTTTGTGACCCTGAAGCACGGAGAGGTAGTCAGTCATCCACTGTGGCCCAGCTTCCTCCCTGCGCCACACAGGTTCAAGCCCATCTTCAGTTAGAGAAACCTGAAAACTGATAGTGTTTCTTCATCCCTCCAATAGTCTTTACCCCTTTGAGAGAGCCGGAGAAAGTTTAGGACA